CAGCAGAAGCCTGAGCTCACGGGGAGCTTTGGACCCCGACTGTCAGCAAAGCGGGACCATGTGTGACGTGTGCAGAGCAGGTCGAGAAGGCAGGACCTCCTGCTGAGACACGTGGACATGTGTACCTGTCCTAGGGGTACGCGCAGCTTCGTTTTTCCAAGATCACAGCCTTAAGTCTCTTCTTTTTTCCTCACCCCTCTGAGCTGGGATTTATTGATGTAGGGTCATAGGGTTTGGAGTCAGGGTAAGGAATGAAGTGTTTCAATAGCATTCCAGCCCCTCCTTAGATGGACAAGTTTGCTCAGTCACAGAGTTGCCTATAGTGTACAGCCTCCCTTACCCTTCGGGTGTACCCTCCCTACCAAGGCTGGTGGGGACAGCCCTTCCGCGACCGCCCTGTGACTTGGTTGTATGGGACGGAGCTTCTGGAGGCCGGCCTGGCAGGCAGTGGTCCTCTGATGAAAACGCACTTGAAAACCTAAAATGAATCTATGAGTCTCTGTCCTCTGTGGGCTCTGTAGAAGTCTGCGAAGGCCAGATTTCAAATTCAGGTCTCTGGTTTGTTTTCTCTGGTCATCCTTTTAGTCTTTCTAGGGCAAGTGGACGATGTGTGGACCATGGACTTCAAAAGGGCACGTATCACTGGAGCCCACTGCTACCCGAGAGCTGCTTGCGTCTCTACCACCCCGCACGTCCAAGATGCCACGGACGACCTGGGGACGTTACTCTGGAAAGGTCGCCGAACATCCACTGTGATGGTGACCGTGTCCACGGAAGTATTCGCGGTCTTCACAGTCCTTCCACATACGACAGAGGGAGGTGGACCGTGTGGTGCACGGGACGTGGGTGCGAACCGCTTGCAGTCCGGGTGCCGGCTGCCAAGTGTGGCTCAGCTATGAACTTAGCTGCTTTGGACGAGTCCCCTGCCATAACCTCAGTCTTCTCCTCTGTGAAGTGGGTACGATAACACCCATCCTACTTATCGCGTAGGCTTGTTCCTGGGCTTACATGAGATGCTTCCCCACCTTCCCAGTTCACTGAAAAGAATGCATGTTGTGGAGCGCGCCGGGGCAAAGGCAAGGGGCGTGGCCGGAGGGACGCTGGACTCCGGCTGCCCTGCCTGACCTCCCGGGCCGGGGTGAGCATCTTCACGCAGCTGTGTGCCCGGGCGAAGCGCTGCTGTGCAAGGCCATTCTGAGCAAACCTCGGCTGTGTATGTACCCGGTCACTTCCACACATGCCCCTGTCCCATCCTGCCACCTGCCAGGAGCTGTGAAGAACCCGGTTCGGACGTGCAAGGTGCCGGGACTGAGTTCAGTGGCCATCAAGCGGCAGACCAGGAACAAGGGCCCAAGGCCACCTCGCCTCACTGCAGGCTGTCTCGGCCCTGTGCTTCAGTCATGCCTCATCATCCAAGAGCACTGTTCCCTGCAAGGCTACCGTGCAGACTTGATGGACATATAAAGAGTTTCCCGGACAAGAAAGAGCTCAAGCGGTTCATCACCCCCAAACCAGCATTATATGAACGGTTGACAGGTCTTCTTGAAGAAGAAACGATAAAAAATATGAACAATAAATGGCAATAAATGTTAATACCTCTCGACATTCGAATCTACAAACCAAATGAACAAGCAGAACAGAAACAGGCTCAGGGAGAGAGAACTTTCTGATGGTTGCCAGACGGGGGGAGGTTTGGGGGGTGGGTGAGAAAGGTGAAGGGATGAAGAAGTACAAACTGGCTGTCAGAACAGCCCAGGAAAGAGGAAGGGCAGGAAGAGAGAAACCAAAGGGATGTGCACATATGCGCGACCCACGGACACAGACCATGGCCTGGGGAAGGCCGGAGGGGGCGGGCCGGGAGGAGGGGGTCAGTGGGATACACAGGGAGGCCATCTGTAATACTTTCAACAATAAAGATAAATGTACAAACTCAGTTATGTTGGAAAACACTCCTGAACTAACTGCCAAGGTCTGAATCAGAGGAAGCGGAACATTCTGTTGCCTCTGACGTGCAGCTAAATCATTCGAAGCTGCAGGCAAGTTGGCAAAGTGTACGTCAATGAGCCAACAAGTCCATCCCTGTCTCTGTCCACGCCCGCGCTACGTCCAGACCCAACGTCTGCCCTTCCAGCTGGGGGAACCGCCCAGCGCGGTGTGGGCTCCCACACGGGTGGACGGGGTCCTGTGTGGGTTACAGAGGGCTCCCACACGGGTGGACGGGGTCCTGTGTGGGTTACAGAGGGCTGTGGGCTCCCACACGGGTTGACGGGGTCCTGTGTGGGTTACAGAGGGCTGTGGGCTCCCACACGGGTTGACGGGGTCCTGTGTGGGTTACAGAGGGCTGTGGGCTCCCACACGGGTGGACAGGGTCCTGTGTGGGTTACAGAGGGCTATGGGCTCCCAGACGGGTGGACAGGGTCCTGTGTGGGTTACAGAGGGCTGTGGGCTCCCACATGGGTTGAAGGGGTCCTGTGCGGGTTACAGAGGGCTGTGGGCTCCCAGACGGGTGGACAGGGTCCTGTGTGGGTTACAGAGGGCTGTGGGCTCCCACACGGGTTGACGGGGTCCTGTGTAGGTTACAGAGGGTTGTGGGCTCCCACACGGGTTGACGGGGTCCTGTGTGGGTTACAGAGGGTTGTGGGCTCCCACACGGGTTGACGGGGTCCTGTGTGGGTTACAGAGGGTTGTGGGCTCCCACACGGGTGGACGGGGTCCTGTGTGGGTTACAGAGGGTTGTGGGCTCCCACACGGGTGGACGGGGTCCTGTGTGGGTTACAGAGGGCTGTGGGCTCCCACACGGGTTGACGGGGTCCTGTGTGGGTTACAGAGGGTTGTGGGCTCCCACACGGGTGGACGGGGTCCTGTGTGGGTTACAGAGGGCTATGGGCTCCCAGACGGGTGGACAGGGTCCTGTGTGGGTTACAGAGGGCTGTGGGCTCCCACACGGGTGGACGGGGTCCTGTGTGGGTTACAGAGGGCTATGGGCTCCCAGACGGGTGGACAGGGTCCTGTGTGGGTTACAGAGGGCTGTGGGCTCCCACATGGGTTGAAGGGGTCCTGTGTGGGTTACAGAGGGCTGTGGGCTCCCAGACGGGTGGACAGGGTCCTGTGTGGGTTACAGAGGGCTGTGGGCTCCCACATGGGTTGACGGGGTCCTGTGTAGGTTACAGAGGGCTGTGGGCTCCCACATGGGTTGACGGGGTCCTGTGTAGGTTACAGAGGGTTGTGGGCTCCCACACGGGTTGACGGGGTCCTGTGTGGGTTACAGAGGGTTGTGGGCTCCCACACGGGTTGACGGGGTCCTGTGTGGGTTACAGAGGGTTGTGGGCTCCCACACGGGTTGACGGGGTCCTGTGTGGGTTACAGAGGGCTGTGGGCTCCCACACGGGTTGAAGGGGTCCTGTGTGGGTTACAGAGGGCTGTGGGCTCCCACACGGGTTGACGGGGTCCTGTGTGGGTTACAGAGGGCTGTGGGCTCCCACACGGGTTGACGGGGTCCTGTGTGGGTTACAGAGGGTTGTGGGCTCCCACACGGGTGGACGGGGTCCTGTGTGGGTTACAGAGGGTTGTGGGCTCCCACACGGGTGGACGGGGTCCTGTGTGGGTTACAGAGGGCTGTGGGCTCCCACACGGGTGGACGGGGTCCTGTGTGGGTTACAGAGGGCTGTGGGCTCCCACACGGGTGGACGGGGTCCTGTGTGGGTTACAGAGGGTTGTGGGCTCCCACACGGGTTGACGGGGTCCTGTGTGGGTTACAGAGGGTTGTGGGCTCCCACACGGGTGGACGGGGTCCTGTGTGGGTTACAGAGGGCTGTGGGCTCCCACACGGGTGGACGGGGTCCTGTGTGGGTTACAGAGGGTTGTGGGCTCCCACACGGGTTGACGGGGTCCTGTGTGGGTTACAGAGGGCTGTGGGCTCCCACACGGGTTGACGGGGTCCTGTGTGGGTTACAGAGGGTTGTGGGCTCCCACACGGGTTGACGGGGTCCTGTGTGGGTTACAGAGGGCTGTGGGCTCCCACACGGGTGGACGGGGTCCTGTGTGGGTTACAGAGGGTTGTGGGCTCCCACATGGGTTGACGGGGTCCTGTGTGGGTTATAGAGGGCTGTGGGCTCCCACACGGGTGGACGGGGTCCTGTGTGGGTTACAGAGGGTTGTGGGCTCCCACACGGGTTGACGGGGTCCTGTGTGGGTTACAGAGGGCTGTGGGCTCCCACACGGGTGGACGGGGTCCTGTGTGGGTTACAGAGGGTTGTGGGCTCCCACATGGGTTGACGGGGTCCTGTGTGGGTTATAGAGTTGCGGGGAAGAACGTAACCACTTACACTGTATGTTAGGCACTTAAAAGAGTTCTGCCTAGACTCGAAGTTCGGTGCACCACAAGTATTAATTACTACGACTTATTATTACTCAAAACAAATCTTACTCATCAGTCATCGGGTCAAAGCAATGATTGCTCTGAAAAAGTCCTTCACAGCTAAAGAAGCATCATGCGACCCGGCGCTCGTGGAACGGCAGCAGCACCTGGGAGGCTTTGGAAAGCCAGCGTCTCCTGTCACTGCTGAGCACCTGCATTTCCATGACACCCCCGGGCGAGCCGTGAGCACAGGCGAGACTGGGAAGGTCCCCAGCCTTGGAGGTCCCCAGGAGCCTGAGAGACCGCTGGGTCACCTGGGCTTTGGGCAGAAATGAGGCAATCGCAGCACTAACGCAGAAGATCTGCTCCATTCTACTGGGGTGTCCAGCCCGACTCTGGCCCCGAACGCAGGCGGGGGTGGGGGCAGTGCTCAGCTGTCCTCCCCAGGGGAAGGGTCCCTCGCGAATCAAGTGGGAGCTCTGTACATCAGCCTGGGGCACCATGGCCCCCGGGACAAGTCGAGACCCTGTTTCAGGGGGAGCCACAGCCACAACACTTGAAAGGGAAGGTGACGTCATCAGGACACCCACAGTTTCACAAAGGAACATGGGCTGTAACGTAGGAAAAGGAAGGAGCCACTTACATTGACCCAGGGATGCTCCAGGACCTGCACGGCTGAAAACCGCTGATCCACGTCGACCAGCAGCATCATGGTGATGAGCTCCTGTGGAAAAGGAACATTCAGCCCCGTGGGTCAGCTTCTAGGGTCCACATCTGGCTGTGTTCAAATGCAGAAGTGCTCTTTTATGTGGAAAAGCTCTAAATCTTAAACACATCAACTCTACCCACAGCCACCTACACCTTTAAAAGTTAAAGGAAAAGTGACTATTTGGAATTATAAATACACAGCTTGTAGTTGGCGGAAAAAATAAAGTGAAATTAATATTGAAATCAATTTAATAAAGTATTTTTAGTAGAAAAGATGTACTTCTTTAACACAAATTAAAGAATTATTTTCCTTGTCTAGGATTTTGCACTGTAAAAACAGACTTCTAAGTTAATTTAATATAAAAATCACATTTTTAAAACACTTTAACTGAATTTTCATGTTGGCAGCTGAAAGTAAAACTGTTTTTTTTCTCATAACTGCAAGATAGCACATTTAAGTTTGAAAGGAAGTTGTAAGAAAAGACAGAGAAAACTGCTAACGGCTAGTTGGTAGCCAAAGAATTCTTTTTTAAAAAAAATATTTTTTCTTGATTTTAATATTTTTTCTTGATTTTAGAGAGGGAGGAACAGAGAGAGAGAGAAACATGGATGAGAGAGAACATCGATTGGCCACCTCCTGCATGCCCCTCACTGGGGATCAGGCTCACAACCTGGGCATGTGCCCTGACCGGGAATCGAACTGGTGACCTCTTGGTGCAGGGTCGACGCTCAAGCACTGAGCCACACCAGCTGGGCAGTAAGCAAAGAATTCTAAGGAAATCTGTTTGAATTGCTGCAAAAACGTCCAGATCGATCAACACAAATAAAATAGAACTACGAAGTGATAAATGACTTCATGGTTCTGAAATTAATAAAACTTTCCCTTAAGTTCAAGTTGATTTAGACCAGGAAAGCACAGCGTGGGTTTTAATGAGTCTGCCATACATTTCTCAACTTTGAATTGGAGGTTTCCAGGTCACCGCATGGTCAGATGTGTGTTTTGTCGGCCCTCACGGTCACAGGCTCTGAGTGCCACCCCGCGGCGGGGACAACTCACTTTGCCAGAGTACAGCTCGACCTTCACTTTCTAACTGGGGCCAGGACTCACGGGAGCAACCGCTGTGTGATGCCCTTTGCCAGTGCCATGGCCTCTGGGTGACAGCTCTGCCTGCCAGCGCCCCCCGCCCTCCCGCTCAGGGGTGACGGCTTGCTCAGGGAAGGTGGACAGGCCCCCGCGCAGCCAGCTCACAGGTGAGGTCACCTCCACCACCTCAGCAGCCTTCCCGTCTCCTTGCACCTGGGGCCTCTCCTCTGACCTCGCTCAGGTCCCCGCATTTCCCTCGGTCCAGAGGCCCATCCCTGCACAGGTGAAGGACCTGAGCGACCTGGGCCGTGTTTTAAATTGAATTCATACTCAGGACACAGCAAAAGAAAAGTTATATACATTCAATAATCAAAGGATAATTGCTTCTCAGTATCAGTATTTCAAAAATTTAAGTCGTAAGTTTAAGGAATCAACTAAAAAATGTATACACACACACACACCCATCTATACATATATATACATATACATATAATTATCTAATTTATCTCAAGGTCTACTAATGTCTGAGAGTAAGACCCTTGGTTTTCTTAGAGTTGACCTTTCAGGGTTAGTGGACAACATCATATGCCGTGTTCCCTACTTCCTCTAAATCCTGGTTGTCTTTCAAGGTCCAAGTCAAATCATAGCGTCCACACGATCTCTTTCTTCATCGTTTCAACCCATGTTAAGCTCCCTCCACTCTGATTGATTAACTGTCTCATCCCTTCATTTATATATGTATTCATTCCATATGTATGAGTACCAGCCACGTACTGGTCACTGTGCAAACACTGCGGTACAGTGATGAACCCAACCCAAATCCTTGTCTTCGTGGAATCTGCATTCTAGTGGGACGAGTGAGAGAGTAAATTACATACATAAAACATGCCCATCTATCTGTGTCTGTGAGGGAAGGTGGACAGAAACAGAAGGGCAGTTGGACGGTGCACCAGATGGGCGTGAGGGGATAATTGCGGCGGAGAGAAACAAAGCAGGTGAGGACAATGAGATGCGCCGGAGAGGGTTTTAGGGCTGTAATCAGAAACGGGGTGGTCTGGAAAAGATTCTCTGAGAAGATAAAATTAAGTCACGACCTCAAACAGTTGCAAAAAGAAGCTACGCAGAAATGTAGGTGTGCCGAAGCCGGGCGGGGGCGGGGGCGGGGCGGGGGCCAAGGCCATGTACAGGGATGACGACGGGGAGATGGGCCGGGGGCAGGGGCACTTGGGAAGGGGAGACGGCCATGAAGAGATGAACCGATGAGTGTGACTCAGAAAAACCCAGCAGTGACACCTGAAACGTGCACAGCAATGACACGCGCCCCATCATGTGGTCTCTCTGCACACCGTGAGCCAGAGTCCATCGTTCTGGGAAGACAGGCAGGCTGGAAGGAAGGAGGCGGCACCGGCACCTACCTTTGCAGAATCAGAAACGTTATCCCAGTACGGAGAAGGGAAGTCCACTTGCCCCATCAAAATCTGGTCGAAAAGCACCTCCTGGTCATCACCACTTCTGTTTGGACGAAAGACAACAGTGAGAAGTCGGCAGGACGGACGCCTGTGCAGAGTTCTCATGCCCTGGGGCCTTCCTTTCCCGGGAACGCGTAAAATGGGTGTTCAAGCCATTCAATGTGTCACTGGGGACAGCTTGGGTAAGCCACAGTAACACGCGCTTCTAAATCACACGAAGACGACGTGCGGCAGGCACGTAAGCTGGCATGCACAGGCCGGGAAGGACACAGACAGGGTAAGTCCAGCTCCCGTCACTGTCTTCCGCACGCCCCTCTGTGCAAGAAGCGACCGGGTCACCCGGACAAGAGAGAAGGCTTTGTTGGTGCCGAACCAGAAGGGCTGCCCGTACCCACGGAACGGAGGGAAGCCACACAGCAGGATGTACGTGATCACGCCGGCCGCCCAGATGTCCACCTTGAGGCCGTATCTGGAAAAGGAAGTAGCGTCCAAATTACATCAGCCCAGGACACACGAAGGGACCTGGCAACACAGGTGATTCTCCTGTTCTCAACCCCAAGCCGAACCAGACAAAATAAAAACCCCAACAACAAACACTAAACTGACACGCACCGGCCACCCAGAATTCAAGGAAAGAGGAGTAAAGAGACTGTCTAAAGCACATGAAAACAAATCAAAGTAATGCGTGGCTAGGCTCATATCCAGAGCTCAGTAAGCGAAGGGTTTCGGCGAAAAGCTTTCTTGTAGTCATATTAATTTATTTTATTTTCAAACACAAGGCGTTTATTGGGGAGGTGACCCTAGGGAGGGGCCGTGAAGGAGTGGGGCGTGAGAGAGAAAGGAAGATGCGTTATCAGACCAGTCACCGCGGTGGACAGCTGGGAACACTGGGAGGCTGGGGACAACAGGAACCTCAGAGTGTCCCCCAGTGGGTGAGGGGCTGGGGTGTCTACACACCCATTGCCAGGGGGGTGAGGGGCTGGGGTGTCTACACACCCATCTCATCAGTCGCTGGCACGGCACTGGGGTGCATGTCAGTTCCTGGACCCTGTCACCTACTCCTGCTCCTGCTGGGAGCCTCCAGCAGCCACGGGGGCAGGAGCGGGCAGGCGGGTGTGCACAGGTGATCGTAGGGTGCACAGGTGATCGTAGGTGATCACAGGTGATCGTAGGGTGCACAGGTGATCGTAGGGTGCACGAGGTGATCGTAGGGTGCACGAGGTGATCGTAGGGTGCACGAGGTGATCGTAGGGTGCACAGGTGATCGTAGGGTGCACAGGTGATCGTAGGTGATCACAGGTGATCGTAGGGTGCACAGGTGATCGTAGGGTGCACGAGGTGATCGTAGGGTGCACAGGTGATCGTAGGGTGCACGAGGTGATCGTAGGGTGCACGAGGTGATCGTAGGGTGCACGAGGTGATCGTAGGGTGCACGAGGTGATCGTAGGGTGCACAGGTGATCGTAGGTGATCACAGGTGATCGTAGGGTGCACAGGTGATCGTAGGGTGCACGAGGTGATCGTAGGGTGCACGAGGTGATCGTAGGGTGCACGAGGTGATCGTAGGGTGCACAGGTGATCGTAGGGTGCACAGGTGATCGTAGGGTGCACGAGGTGATCGTAGGGTGCACAGGTGATCTTAGGGTGCACAGGTGATCGTAGGGTGCACAGGTGATCGTAGGGTGCACGAGGTGATCAGAGGGTGCACAGGTGATCTAGGGTGCACAGGTGACCGTAGGGTGCACGAGGTGATCGTAGGGTGCACGAGGTGACCGTAGGGTGCACAGGTGATGGTAGGGTGCACGAGGTGACCGTAGGGTGCACAGGTGATGGTAGGGTGCACGAGGTGATCGTAGGGTGCACAGGTGATCTAGGGTGCACAGGTGATCGTAGGGTGCACGAGGTGATCTAGGGTGCACAGGTGATCGTAGGGTGCACAGGTGATCGTAGGGTGCACGAGGTGATCAGAGGGTGCACAGGTGATCTAGGGTGCACAGGTGACCGTAGGGTGCACGAGGTGATCGTAGGGTGCACGAGGTGACCGTAGGGTGCACAGGTGATGGTAGGGTGCACAGGTGATCGTAGGGTGCACAGGTGATCGTAGGGTGCACGAGGTGATCGTAGGGTGCACAGGTGATCTTAGGGTGCACAGGTGATCGTAGGGTGCACAGGTGATCGTAGGGTGCACGAGGTGATCAGAGGGTGCACAGGTGATCTAGGGTGCACAGGTGACCGTAGGGTGCACGAGGTGATCGTAGGGTGCACGAGGTGACCGTAGGGTGCACAGGTGATGGTAGGGTGCACGAGGTGACCGTAGGGTGCACAGGTGATGGTAGGGTGCACGAGGTGATCGTAGGGTGCACAGGTGATCTAGGGTGCACAGGTGATCGTAGGGTGCACGAGGTGATCTAGGGTGCACAGGTGATCGTAGGGTGCACAGGTGATCGTAGGGTGCACGAGGTGATCAGAGGGTGCACAGGTGATCTAGGGTGCACAGGTGACCGTAGGGTGCACGAGGTGATCGTAGGGTGCACGAGGTGACCGTAGGGTGCACAGGTGATGGTAGGGTGCACGAGGTGACCGTAGGGTGCACAGGTGATCGTAGGGTGCACGAGGTGATCGTAGGGTGCACAGGTGATCGTAGGGTGCACGAGGTGACCGTAGGGTGCACAGGTGATCGTAGGGTGCACGAGGTGATCGTAGGGTGCACAGGTGATCGTAGGGTGCACGAGGTGATCGTAGGGTGCACAGGTGATCGTAGGGTGCACGAGGTGATCGGAGGGTGCACGAGGTGATCGGAGGGTGCACAGGTGATCGGAGGGTGCACGAGGTGACCGTAGGGTGCACAGGTGATCGTAGGGTGCACGAGGTGATCGTAGGGTGCACGAGGTGATCAGAGGGTGCACAGGTGATCGTAGGGTGCACGAGGTGATCAGAGGGTGCACAGGTGATCGGAGGGTGCACAGGTGGAACACTGGCAGCATCTGCCATGCGATCATCCTCCCGCCACACTGCAGGCAGCGTGCTCATCACCAACACATACATTTGCAAAGAGACACTTAGTTTCCCCAAATGTCTTCCAAATAGTATCTGTCTCCAGAACTAGTTAACCCTTGAGGACAGATCCAGCCCACAGGAGCGCTCACTCCTCCCCCCGGTGGGTGGGCCTCGCTCGTTCCATCGGCTCAGACTTGCTCCTCCTTCCCTCTCCCCATCCACGCCCTGCCCTCACCTCCCACGGGCCCAGCAGGGATGGGGCTGCACAGAGCTCAGGAAGGGCCTGGGAACTGACAGTGACGTTCCCGATGCGACTTGGTTTCATATATATATATATGCTCATTTCCACCCAGAAACTTCATTTCCGAGGCAGATGCCACCTGACGAGAAGGGGTGCTGGAGAGGCCTGCATAAATAAAACTCACGGATGATAGCCAAGCCTCTTCTCAAAAATCAGATGCCGCCTTTTCCCCTAGCAAAATGCTTGGTGGGACTGCACACAGAGCCAAGCAGACTGGCCTGCGTGACTCGGCGCTCGGCCGCAACCCCGTGGGGCCTGTGTGTGTTGGTCCAGCCCCACTTTTCCGCTCTGTGCCCTCCTTCTCCTCCACCCCCGCCCTCCCACCCCCACAACCCCCACACTGTGGAGTGCTGTCTCGTTTTCCTTTGTGCTCAATCCCTGCACCTCACCCCCAACATGCCCACGACCAGAGCTGCCTGCCTGCTCTCTATCCATGAGTCTGTCTCAGTTTGTTCATTAAATTCCACACACAAGTGAAATCATATGATCCTTGTCTTTCTCTGACTGGCTTATTTTACTTCGCATAATGTTCTTCAGGTCCATCCATGTTGTTGCAGAGGGTAAAACTATCTTCCTTTTTATGGCCGAGTAGTATTCCATTGTGTAAATGAGTAATAGCTGTTTTACCCGCTCACCTACTGATGGACATTTGGGCTGCTTCCAAATCTAGGTTGTAAATAACACTACAGTGAACATAGGGGTGCATGCATTTTGTCAAAACAGTGTTTCAGGTTTCTTTGAATATATTCCCAGAAGTGGGATCGCTGGGTCAAATGGCAGTTCCATTTGAAAAATTTTGAGGAAACTCCATACTGTTTTCCATAGTGGCTGCACCAGTCCGCATTCCCACCAGCAGTGCACTAGAGTCCCCCTTTCTCCACACCCTCACCAGCACTTGTTTGTGGATTTGTTGGTAATAGCCATTCTGGCAGGTGTGAGGTAATACCCCACTGTGGTTGTAATTTGCATCTTTCTGATCGTTAATGACACTGAGCATCTTTTCATATGTCTATTGTACATCTTTACCATTTGTATGTCCTCTTTTGAGAAGTGTCTATTTAGGTCTTTTCCCCATTTTTTAATTGGATTGTTTGGATTTTGTGTGTGTGTGTGTGTGTGTTGAGATTTATAAGTTCACTATAAATTTTAGATATTAATCCTTTATTAGATATATCATTGGTGAATATGTTCTCCCATTTAGCGGGTTGTCTTTTAATTTTGTTGACAGTTTCTTTTGCCATGAAAAAACTCTTTAGTTTGATGTAGTCCCATTTGCTCATTATTTCTTTTATTTCACTTGCCCAAGGAAATATGTCAGTATCTGCACATATCTGTCCAATTTTCCCCAAACCATTTATTGAATAGACTATCTATGCCATTGTATGTTTTTGCCTCCTTTGTCAAATATTAATTGACGATAAAGGCATAGATTTATTTCTGGGCTCTTCATTGTGTTCCATTGATCTCTATGTCTTTTTTTATGCCAGTACCATGCTGTTTTGATTACTATGGCCTTGTAGCATAGTTTGTTATCAGGTAGAGAGATTCCTTCAACTTTGGTCTTCTTTCTCAAGATCGCAGTTGCTATTTGGGGGGTCTTTTCTGGTCCATATAAATTTTGCAATATTTGTTCTAGTTCTGTGAAATACACCATTGGTATCTTGACAGGAATTGCATTAAATCTGTAGATTGCTTCATATGACTGAATGGGAGTCCTACCAATTTAAAAATGATGATGGACACTTGAGACGATCTAACTCCCCAATTTTAGAAATAATAATGTCACATAGGCTGTTTTCCAATTTGTAAAGTACTGACATATGTTATCTTATTCTGTTTTCCCAACAACTCTGTTTTATAAAACAAGTATTACTGCTTGTTTTATAGAAGAGAAAACAGAGGTTCAGAGGGGTAACAGCCACATACTTAGCGGCAGAGCTGGGCTCCCACCCAGGTTTCAAGAGCCCGACCGCACCTCTGCCCACACCATCCCTGCACGAGCCGCGGCTCAGGGGCAGCAAACGGAGCTGGGCCTAGAACGGCACCGGTGCGGGGCGCAGGCAGGGCTGTCGCTGGGCCTCCTGGCACTCACCCTCGAGGAACAGAAAAGTCCTCGTCACTTCACATCTCACCTTGGGGACTTCCCGCTTGGAATTCCCGACCACCTGTTCTGTATTTCTGCCTTTCTGGTCTACGGTACAAGCAGAGACACACTCTCCACCGGTCAGAGCGGCCACACCTTAGGACACTAACTGTGGTTCAGTGCTGCTGACAGGAAACAAGTGGAGGGCTGTGTTCCTTTACGCTCCGCTCCTCCCGAACCCTCTGTTTTCGGACAGGGCTTCAGAACCCTGCCTGTGATACATGCTCAGAAACAGCTTCTCGGCCCGGCCGGTGCGGCTCAGTGGATGAGCGTTGTCCAATGGACTGAGTGGTCCTGGTCTGATTCCCAGTCAGCTCATGTGCCCAGGTTGCAGGCTTGATCCCCAGTGGGGGGCGTGCAGGAGGCAGCCGACGGATGTATCTCTCTCTCTCACATCAATGTTTCTATCTCTCTCTCTTAAAAGAAATCAATAAAGACATATTTTTAAAGAATAGGGGCCTTTATGAAAAGAGCATTTTATTCACACAGACCTGAGTTCAAAGGCTGACTCACTACTCTCTAGTCCCGAGCCTACCTGATAGTCCATCATCAGAGTCTGAACTTACTCATCTGCCGGGTGGAAGTCATACTGTCTACCGGAGGAGCGGGAATCAATGAGGGCGCTCAGTGCCTGGCCTGCAGGAGGTCCTTGCTAAGTATCAGGCCAACCCTCCTTCTTGCGAATTTCCTCCTTCTTATACTGCGACACACAGAAGCTAGCAAATCCCGTGACCCCGGGAGCTCTCTGTACCCCACAGATAATCCCTGGTTCCGAGAGGGCCAACAAGGGCCCACCTCTGAAGAACGAGGCCACAGAATGAAACGGTGGAAGGAGGGTGGCTAACCGCACCCCGCACATGCAGTGCTGGTGTCTCATATACACCGTCACTGTACGTCTCCCTGTCGGCCTGGACACCTGTCCTCTGGGGCCGAGAGCGGCTGTTCTACCTGAACAAAGGCCAACTGGAAGCTGAACAAGGGTGCAGCAACGGGAGCACAGACGATGGCTCCCACTTCCAAGGAAAAGAAAACAGAAGAGGGCGAAGGACGTCGGAGAGCCGACCCAGGCCCCGCGGAGGGCAGCAGCCCCGGCCAGCCCGAGGCGGCGGAGCGCATCGGCACCCACGCACACACTTACCCGGTCTCCGCGATGATCTCTGGGGCCACGTATGTCGGGGTGCCGCAGACCGTGTACAGGGGGCCGTCCACAATGGTGGCCAGTCCGAAGTCGCCCAGCTTCAGTGATTTGCTGCCGTCTTGGTGTTCATACACCTGACGGGAAAGTCAGAGGGAAGTCACCTTAACCAGGAGCTCCGAGCTCCTCCCGCAGCGACGAGGGCACTGTGGTTCCAAGGTAATGCGTTTTCCAGAAAACACCGGGCGGTCACGCAAGGATGTACAGACAGGGATATCTTCCTTCAGATCACCGCAGAATTACAAACGTGATGAACACCAGCAAATGGAACTCTGTTACGTCAACGATGGCACATTCACACCATGGGATCCCCCATGACCAACAAAAAAGGGGTGCGAATTCGTATTTATTGAGGTGAATTATGTTTGGGAGATTTCAGATTGGTCTGCGTTAAAAGTCTATTAAAGAAAAAATACGAGCCCTGGCCGGTTTGGCTCAGCGGTTAGAGCGTCGGCCTGCGGTCCAGAGAGACCTGGTTCGGTTCCCGCTAAGGGCGCGTACCTCGGTTGCAGTTTGTCCCCGGCCCTGGTCGGTTGTGCGGGTGGCAGCCACTCGATGTGTCCCTTTCACGTAGATGTTTCTCTCTCTCTCTCTCTGTTCCTCTCTCTCCCTCCCACTCTACCTGAACAAAAAAAAAATGGAAAAATGTCCTCGGGTGAGGATAAAACAAAAAAAAGAAAAAATACGAATGAAGGAATTGAGAGCCCATGGTGTGTCTGTCTCTGGGTAGTAGAATTATGGGGGTTCTTTGTTTCTTTTGCTTCTCTGTGTCTGATGTTTCTATAATTAAAGCTGATTTGCACGATACAGTGAAATACAGAAAGTCTCTAGTGAATTATCTCCAATTTCTGAGAATAATGACCTCTTCATTTTAATAGAAGACGCTTTGAAAAGGAAGCTCTTTAGTAATTGAACAGAAAAATCTACATGTATATTAAAGTACTTTATTTCTTAAAATAAGTAATGGAAAGGGATATTAACATTCCGTTTCACCGGTGGCAATTTGGAAAGATTTACCACGTGCAGAGTCAACGTTCAGCCCAGGTTTCCTTATTAAGGCGGTAAAAGTCCATCTTTCACCCAACAAATGAGCAAAAGGATGCAGGTGACTGACTGCAGGCTTTCCACTACTTCACTTCTAGCCCAGGACCACACCAAGGGGCTCAAAGAGTACCCCAAACAACCTCTATCAGTTCAAAGAACAGAGGAGCAGGCCTTCAGAACCCTGACTCAGTGGCCCCCATTGGAATCAGTAAGATAAAGCAAACAACCGTGGAAGGCTAGGTTCCCGCAGACGCAGGAGCTGCCCCAAGGAAATGGTGACGTTTCCGTGGACATCAAAATACTTCTCCCGGCGAGCTGAGGCCTCCGCCTCCTTGTCATCGCCCAAGGTCCCGTGGTCCTGCCACAGCAGGTTGCCCCCCCACCCCCTCATTGCAAGACGCGTCCGCACCCCGGAGCACTGCGGCCACACACCGTGCCCGCCTCCCTTTGGAGAGCGGTACCCCTCTCCTCTCGCAGACAGCCCACGAAGCTGCTGGTGGGCAACAATCATTTGGATCTAACTGTTTTGGCAAAGTCAGCCAGATCCTCCTCTCGGGAGAGACCGCGTCTCTTCTGGGCAGAGAAACATTCTTTTCCCTTTTCTCCACACTCGGATCACGGAGCCCTCTCCCTTAGCGCATGACCATGGTCAAGTGCTGCTACGGGGTGGTTACGGCGAGGACGCCTGTATGTCCTTCCCAGATGTGGCTTTGCCCGGCTGTCACTGGGATGGACACTGTCCCCCTCTACTTGGACGAAGCAGCTGTCCAGCCCTGGTCAGCACAAACGAGTCTGGGTCACAGACTTGAAGGAGTCAGAACAGTAAAGACAGCATCCAGCCCAGGTGAATGTTCTTAAGCAAAAGAAATCCCTACATTTTAGTTTTAGTGTGTCAGCCTTTCTGGTCCTCCAATGACAAGCAAATGGTTTTATGAGCATAAATCTAAGATGAAAATATCGAGTTGATCATTAGGTTTATTCCCCAGAAAGAACCAAATTCGTTACTTCCTTAATTCCGTGTTGTGACCAATGACCTTTCTAAAGTGAAAGTAACCTTTGCTTTGATGTGTTCCCACACATTTACGGTGGACGTTTCGTGAGATTGGGCTGATTTCAATGTTCACAACACTGTTTACGCAGGAATTTTGTTTTTTCCTAAACATACTGTCTATAATCACCCAACTGTATTCAGAAGTTGTACAAAAGCAGATGTTGGCAGATCTAGTCATAAGGTACATTTTAGTTCTTAATGTGACCATACAATTCTCTTTGTTTATGATGATTACTTTTCAACCCTCACTGAGGATATGTTTTTACTGCGTTTTAGAGAGAAGAAGGGAAAGAGAGACACAGAGAGAGAAACACTGATGTGAGAAACATCGATCAGTTGCCTCCTGCGTGTGCGAACTCACAACCTAGGCGTGTGCCCTGACCGGGAATCAAACCTGCAACCTTTGGGTCTATATTCCAACCAGTGAAACACTCGGCCAGGTAACCATGTAATCCTCTTACACAAAGGGAGGTTTTATTTTTTAACATCGACATTTTGATAGGAATTCTATCTTACACACACATATGCCATTTATATTAATCTAGCTGAATAAAATTCAAAATTTCAATAACTAAAAAAAAAATCATAAAAAACCTATCTAAAATAAAGGCAATGAGGATTACCTAAAAGTAGCACTTCTTCTTAAACCAGTACAATTTAAGTGAAATGTCTAGAATCTATCGTTTTGATGTCTTTGTTCCTCTCCTTAATCACGTCTACAGTGCCCCGCCCCCGCCCTGCCTTTTGCTTTGGAAACTGTATCGTAGAACTTGCATGAACATAAAAATGTTACAATGATGCTTCTAAGAGACAATAAGAGCTTCGAGACAAAGGCCTAGCCCGTGTCATTGAAAACATTTGTACTAGAGCTATGTTAGAAATGCTTCAGCAAAAATGTTTCTGCAGGTGAATAGATGGCCAGGCCTCTGGTTTAGGATTCTGTTCTAAACTTACTTACTGTCAGGCGGAAGGAAGGCTGCTTTGGGTTTCTCTGTCAGCACTTTGGGAGAAGGATTCAGAAGAATGTATTCTAGGTCTCCTCTCCTCCAATGGGGGGGCCCCTCTCCTCCGTGGTGTAATGAGACCCGCCCACAACCAGGGCTCACCATGCGCCTACACTCACCCCGTCTCTTCCCTAGCCAGTTACAGAGGGGCATGATAAGGCCATTTCCAAATGTAATGAAAACTGTGTTAAAATCACAGATTGCTAAATACATCTGTTTCAAACACATATGTACACACACACACACACACACACAGAGTCACAAAATCATACCCAGAAAGTATTATCCCAAGTGGAAGCTATAAATTTACTTTGAAGTAAGTATTTAACTAAAAGTTTGGAATCGGAAAAGTGTTTCACAAGTTTGCCTTTAAAACGCTGAGCCCTTCCTTGGCTTATTCCGCTCTCTGAACCGATTCTGACTTTGTTCTCTGCGTGTCTCCGCACCCTGACCATTTTCCAGAAAGGACATCCACAGGCTGCAAGTCTGGGCTCGGTCAGCCTGCTCCAGCAAGTGGGTTCTGGTGGAGGAGGAACTCTCTGCTCCAGCTGTATTTGAAAGCCTCCCTAAAACGCCACACACACGTGTAGTGGGAGGACACTCGTTGCCAATCACAGAGCACGTACGGCATGAGATATGGTTTAATGTTCATCCCAGGCCCTTGAAATACTATGGATGTTCCCCCACGTTCTAAATGCTGAGGGGCTATTAAAGAGATGGGGGTTAGTGCAAATTACCCAGTACGTAGTACTTTCACCGTTTTAACTGAGCAATAAAACCGAGGGGCTGTGCAGCCCTAATTGAACGCAGCCCGTCCGGGGCTGCCATATGCAGCCGATTACCGCACAGGCTGTCGAGCGCGGCCCCTCCTCGTGGGATCCTGCAGATGGCTGCGGCGGGGAGTGGTTCTCCAGGGCTTATTACACGGCTATAAAGACATCCCGTGCCTTGACAGACTAAATGTGTTAAATGGCAACAATTATGAAAAAGGTTCCAATTAAAAGCCCAAGGCATGTTCTACCAAGACTAGATGCAGTGAAAGACCAGGTACCGGATTTCGGCGCACGGCGTTCGCCCGAGGCTGGCCTTTTTTAACGGAGGGTTTTCGTCGTGTGTCGCCGTCATTCACTTCGGGCTTCGCGGGAGGGGTAACTCGCCGAGCAGTCGACGTTTGGGCATATGTCTGATTTCCCATGGATCAGAAATTGACACCATTTGGGAAAGTTATTTGAGAAAATAAAAATGGTAATATAAGTCATAAAATGCAGCCAGTAACCATAAAGCAAGATGAAGGTTCACAGATACCCAAACCCAGTTGAATGTTTTCTGTAATCCCCGAGACAGAAAACCAGCAGCGGCTGATGGAAGAGGGGCTGGAACAGACATGCTTCTCAGTGCTGCTGGGAATTCAAGGGTGACCCTGTTGACGTCTGGAGAATGAGTCACTAGTAGCCACTAACCTATTTTATACCGATGAGCTCAATACGTACTGAAAATTACGTTGCCAAATAAAATCGAAGAAAAGAGGCATGAAATCAACAAAGCCATGTGAAAAAGAAATCAATTTACTTTTTAACAAATATGGTACTTTGTTAAAAAGACATTGATTTTCCTCTGGCCACACTACATGGTCTTTATGATTTTTTCTAAGGCAATTGGGTTAAATTTAAACCTTTAATCTTTAAGAACTAAAATATAACAATATCTATACAGGGAATTATTTTGCAAAATGTACTTGTGGTCCACATCCCTTAGAATTAAACCTCCTGGGAAGAAATAAATAAAAAGACCAAATCCACACTGGCCGGTTTGGCTCAGCAGTTAGAGCGTCGGCCTGCAGTCCAGAGAGACCCGGGTTCGGTTCCCTCTAAGGGCACGTACCTCGGTTGCAGTTTGTCCCCAGCCCTGGTTGGGTCATGCAGGAGGCAGCCACTTGATGTGTCCCTTTCATGTCAATGTTTTTCTCTCTCTCCTTTCC